CTCTGCAGCACTTCGAGGCGGCGCCTCCCGCCGACGACCGCGCGCTCGTCGAACGGGTCGTCGGGGGCGGCCTCGCTGAGGCCGTCTTGGGGCTGGCCCCGCAGGGGGCGCTCCAGCACCTCGACGCCCTTCGCGTCGCCCACGCCGTCGTCGATCCTCCGGCTCCAGCGCGTGGAAATACACGTCGGCCTCCAGCGCCGCCACTTCCACGATGGCAGCGATCTCAATCTGGGGCTTCTCCACCTCCTCCAGCACCTCGCCGACCCCGCCGCCGTCGGCGTCCTGGACCACCTCGCTGCGCCCATGAAGGAGGGCAGCCTCATTGGCCATCAGGTAGCTCTCGACGACTCCGAAGTCCGCAGAGGCGCGACGGGAAGAGGAAGCCGTGCAAGTCGTGCTGCACGCCGTGCCAGGGCCGCCGAAGGCCGCGCCTGGCTCGGGCACCAGCTCGCCGACAGACCCGCCGAGGGACAACGCGCGGCGGGCGCTTGGCACAAAGCCGACGCCATCCTCGAGAACGAGGGTCGCGTCCACCACCTCCTGCGCGTCGAACGTGGCGGAGTCGGCGGCGTTGAACGAGACGCCCTCCTGGACGGAGTGACCCGCGTCGCACGCGCCGTCGAGGGAGGGCAGAAGTGGCTCGGCGGCGGCGGATCGAGCGCGTAGAACAGCGCCGGCGCCGGCGCCGCCGTCCTCGTCGCCCCCGCCGCTCCATCTCCACCACCGCGCTCCCGACGCCAAGAGCAGAGGCCTCGGCTCGGCAGCACGCCCCACAATCTCGGCCAGCGCGAAGACGGTGCCTGGCGGCACGCTGCGCCCGCGGCGGCGTGCCAGGGCCCAGTGGAGCGGCACCGACCGCATCGGAAGCAACGCGCGCGGGCGGCGCGCGGCGGACGGGCGCCGCCGCTACCGTCGGCGGCCTTCTCGGGCTGGGCCGCTGCCCACCAGAATGAAGACCAGCTCCAGCAGGGCGGCGAGGAGGAAGGCGGGCGCCGTCGCGTACCTCAGCTCCACGAGCGTGCCGAGGCTGACCTCCACGTCGGCCCAGCCGAGCAGACCCCTCTGCAGGCGATGCTTAGCACCTCGCTGGTTGCTGTTGAGCTCCGCCTTGCCCGCCTTCTGGATCACCGCGACGGCGGTGCTGAAGACGTGCGCCGCCGTGTTGTGTCATTGCTTGCCCAACGTCGGCACGCAGGGAACGAACGCGCTCCCCTGCTCCGCGGCAAGGCCCGCCGCGAGGATCGGCGCTTCGAGGCCCACCCGCCCGACCAGCTCGCCCCTCAGCTTGTCGTCTGCCTGCCCCGTCACGTCGGTGCCCGCCAGGGCCACAGCCTGCTGGGCCGCCGCCTCGTGCAGTGTGGGATTTACGACACATCACATCGAGGCACACATGTGTTTTTGCGGACGTTTGCGAATAGGCACCCTGCGAGTAGCGGAACGCGCTTGGTGACTACTGGGTCGGCCCTGCACCCCCTTCCCCACACCTCTTCCCGGCGCGCGGAGGGCAGCGAGGGGGGAGGGGCGTCGGCGCCACCAGGGGAGCCAGGGGGAGGGGGGGCGCCCAGCGCCCGGCCCACGCAGTCCGCGCTGGCCTCCGAGGGGTGATGCTCAGCTCTGCTGGGAGGAGGCGGGGGCCAGGGGGGCTCTGCTGGGGAAGGGGGGTGGGGAGGGGTCTGCATATTCCAGGCCGCTCCCGCCAGGGAAGGGGGGAGGGGGGGGTGAAGAGGCCGGGGAAGGGGGGGGAATCATTGACTCCCCGTAGGTTTTTCAAAGCATTTGAAGTTTTCGCCTTTTCGAGCTCCCGACGCCTCAACACAATGCAAGGGGCCACCAAGAGGGCTCCAAGACGCCGCGAGAAGGCCCAGAAACGCCCCAAGAGGCGACCAAGACGGCCGTTGAGGGTCCCGGGACGGCCCCAAGAAGGGGAACATGAACAGACGATTCGAGACTTCCGCCCCAAGAGGCCCCCGAGAGGCCCCAAGGGGCCCCTAAAGGGCCCAGAAGAGGCCCCAAGAAGCTCCCAAGAGGCTCTAGAACTGCCTCCAAGAGGCCCCCGAGAAGCTTTCCACGGTATCCCTACGAACCTCCAAAGAGCCTCGGGCCCACCGGGATGGGCCGAAGGCCACCAAATCCGCCGTCCCCTGTCGATTCATCGCAGGGGTGCCTGGCGTGCTAAACTATTTCGGTTTTGGTTTTGGTTCTTTTTCAAAAAGAACTCCCCCTGGGGCTTCGGCCCGTCCCGCCAGCCACCCGGAAGACCCGGTTGCAAACGGTTTTCCTGCCCCAGACGGCCCCAAGATGCCCCCCAAGATGGCCCAAGATGGTTTCCAAGACGGCTAAGATGGCCCCAATATGCCTCCAAGACGGCCCAAGATGCACCCAAGACGGCCTAAGATGGCCTCAAGATGGCCTAAGACGGCCCAAGAGGCCCCCAAGAGGCCTCCCAGACGCTGTAAGAGCTCCTCCAGAAGGACCCGAAGAGGCCAAAATCATTGATGCTCCTAAGGTTTTTTTTAGGTTTGTCGTATTTGCTCTTTTTCTGTTTTCCGACGACACATGACGGACCAAGAGGCCCCCAAGATCGCCCCCACAGCGACCAAGAGACCTCCAAAATGGTCTCAGGACTGCCCAAGAGGCCCCCAAGACGGCCCCAAGAGGGAACAAAGACGACCCAAGAGGCCTCGAAGACGCCCAAGATGGCCTCTACGGCCCCAAGTCGGCCCAGAAAAGCCCCCCTAAACAGCTTCTGATGGCGTCGGACGGGCCAGGAGCCCACCAAGATGGCCGAAGTTGGCTCGAAGCTGGTCCAAGACGGCCCAAGAGGCCTCCAAGAGGGCCTCCAGGAAGGCCAGAAAGATGCCAAAAACATTGATGTTCCTAAGGTTCTTGAGGGATTTTGATATTTGCTTCTTTTCGGCCATCCGAAGGCCCGATAGAGCCCAAGAGCCCCTAAAGAGAGCGCCAAAGATCGCCCAAGAGGGCTCCAAGATGGCCCCAGAGCAGCCCAAGAGGCCCCCAAGACGGCCCCAAGAGGCCCCCAAGACGGGCCAGGACGCTTTTAAGACGCCCAAGATGGCCTCCAAGACGGCCCTGGAGCATTCCAAGAGGCCCCAACTCGGCCCAGAGGGGGCCCCCCAAACGGCTTCCGACGGCGTCGGACGGGCCACGAGCCCACCAAAACGGCCGAAGAGGCCTCCAAGAGGGCCTCCAGGAAGGGCCGAAAAGGCCAAAATCATTGAATTCCCATAAGTTGTTCAAGGATTGTGGCATTTGCTTTGTTGTTCGGCCTTCGGACGGTCCGAGATGGCCCAAGAGGCCCCCAAAGATCGCCCAAGAGGCCCAAGACGGCCCCAAGAGGCCCCCAAGACGGCCCAAGAGGCCTCCAAGACGCTCAAGATGGCCTCCAAGACGGCCCAAGAGCCCTCCAAGACGTCCTCCAAGAAGGCCCGAAAAGGGTCAAAATGGCCTCCAGACGGCCAAGATGACCTTCAAGATGCCCACGTGTTCCCCGAAGGCTTTCCAAACCAATTCGGGGAACGCATGGTCCGATAGCTTGGCAGGTCTGGCCTCAACGTTCGGCCACATAAGCGTTTCCAAAAAGCAGGGGGCGGCGGTAATTCGCCGCAGGCGTCATCGATAAGAGAAGATAGAAATGACGAGAAGGGGCAATACGACCCGCCCAATCACCCACCAACGAGCCAACCCGTCCAGGAACTAGCACGCCAACAAGCCCCACAGACGGCCACGAGGCAAACATTCCATTGAATACATACTACCTCATGCGGCTGCCAACATCCTCCTCCTCCTCCTCCTCATCCTCCTCCTCCGCCTCCTCCTCCTCGTCCTCCTCTCCTCCTCCTCCTCCTCTTCCTCCTCCTCCTCTTCCTCCTCCTCCTCCTCATCCTCATCCTCATCCTCATCATCATCATCATCACCATCATCATCATCATCATCATCATCAGCATCATCATCATCATAACCAGCATCACCATCATCATAATCAGCATCATCCGCAGCATCATCACCAGCACCATCAGCATCAGTAGCATCATCAACAACACCATCAACATCAGCATCATCAGCATCACCGCCAGCAGCATCATCACCACTACCATCGTCATCATCATCAACAACATCAGCAGCATCATGATCACCATCACCATGATCAGCATCCTCATTATCATCATCAGCATCAGCAGCAGCTGCAGCATCATCATCACCATCATCATGATCAGCATCATCATCATTAACATCATCAGCATGAGCAGCAGCTGCAGCTGCAGCAGCATCATCATCACCATCCTCATGCTCACCATCATGATCAGCATCAACATCAGCACCAGCATCAGCAGCATCATCATCAGCAGCAGCATCCTCACCCTCATCCTCATCCTCCTCTCTCCCCTCTTCCTCCTCCCCCATCCTCCCCCCTCGAGGTCAAGCTCGCCAACTACTGCTAGACAGGCAGAATTCGCACGGAGCGTCCCGGAGCGTCCCTGATCGGCGGAACAGGCGGGAGGCCTTTATACTGATTTCTTGTCTTCCTGCGGCCATGGCCACGTGCCTCTGCCACTGCGCCGTGCTGCGACTCGTTGCGTATTGGTTTCGCTCGTGCTGCCACCGCGCCGGGCTGCTGCCGAGAACTTACCTTTTTTGATTGCGAATGACGCGGAAGCAGCCGCGCACCATCAAAGGGTCGAGCAGCACGGGGCAAAGGCGCACAGCGCAACTGTCGCCAGCGAAGCGCAGGAAAAAAGGCCACGATGGCTGCCGAGAACTTACGCGCCAGTATGGCGTTCCGCCGTTTCCCGAGAGGGGCGGCGAGGCGAGGCGCGAGGCGGCAGCAGGCACGCGAGGAGAGGCGAGGGGCGATGGGCGAGGCGGGGGCGAGGGGCGAGGAGCGAGGGGCGAGAGGTGAGGCGCGAGGCGCGAGGCGGCCACCAGCAGCGGCACGGCGCGCGCGACGCGGCACGGGCACGGCCACCCAGCAGCTGGGGCGCCTCACGCGGTGCCGCCACGCACGCGCGCGAGCTCCTCGCGCAGCACTGGCAGCACCGCGGCGCGCCACCAGTCCTGCGCGGGCCAGTCAGGCAACCACGCGCGAAACCTCGAGGGACAACGAAAGGGGAGGCCAGCTCAGGTGGGAAGCATCAAGCTGGAGTCGGCGATGCATCGCCGATAGAGCGGCGATAGGCTGCGGGAAGGGCCATCGGGCCCCCGTCGGCGATGAATGGGCGATTGGGGGTCGATATGTTCCCCCCTGAGCCTATCCCCCCCTAACGTTGCCCATGAGTACCCCTGCAGGCCAGAATTGTGAAACACCGGCGGGGCGTCGGAACATGAAGGATATCTGCAGCCAAGCGAGCCCCAGCGAGGGTATCCAATACCCCGGCGACGATTGGACCCGCAGGGGTAGGGTTCGCAAGTGGTCTTAGATCAAGATTACAACGTCGAAGACGACGAGGAGAGAATGGGAATGATCAGGTCGTGAAGGCGAACGTGTGAATGAAGGAGGAACTAGGCCTCTGACGCGTTGGCCAGACAACGACCAGAGCTTTGGCCAGAGCCCAGCTTCTATCCTCTATCCTCCACAGAAATTCCCTCGAGAATTTCTCCTCATGGGACTCCGCCAGCACTCGGTCACAGGGCCTCACTCGACAAGGACGAGGACGAGGACGGCGAGAGGGCAGGCGGGGAGGAGAGGGGGCACAGCATCGGATCGGCCGTCCACCAGGGACGGGTCCAGCCGCCCTTGCTGCCGGGCGAGCGCCAAGCCAACCGGGGCCCAGGCGGCAGCAGGTGCGGGAGGAGGAGGACCCCCAGCGCGCGAGGGTGCGACGCCCCATCGCGCCTCCCGGCATCGTTTCGTGGGGTCACCGGCCACACTCTTCGAACTCCGATCCTCGGGCAACAAGATCCCCAACACCGTCCAGGGCGCGCTGGCCCAGGCCATCGCTGACCTGGGCTAGACAAGCCCGTGCTGGGAAGCCAGGCTGGCCACGAGGCGACCCTCACTCAAACCCAGACGGTGGGGACTGGCTGGACCCGGTCAACGCTGACCCCGCTGCATGTACCCCGCACGACGACAGCGACGACGGCGGCAGCGGCAGCGACGACGACGACCCCGACTCCCGGCCGAAGCCGATCCGCCCGGCCGAAAGGGGGAACGATGCGGGTGGACTGGCTGATAGCGGGGGATACCTCGCCCTGGAATCGGCGATACGCCGCGGATAGATAGGCGGTGGTCCCCAAGAGCGGCTCCGAAGCTTCCTGGGCGGCGTGGGGGCACTCGAGCCCTAATCGGCGATCGATGGGCGATTGGGGGTCGATGCATCCTGCCCTGAGCCCATCTTCCCCCTATCGTTGCCCTTAGGTCGGGCATGTCCCCCTACGGGCGGACTTTGGGCGAAAAAGCGGCATACGCAGAAACATGCCAAAAAGTAGTCAAAAAATGCACCAGAAATCGTCCCCCGACGATTCTTGGACTATGTTTGAATATGCCTCCTGTAGGGGAACACGCCCGACGTAACCCTGTCGCTGCCCCTGAAAGCCGCTCCGCCCGGCCGTCCTCCACCACGGCCTTGAAGCTCGCCTCCCGCGGGGCGGGCGCACCCGAAGGGTGGGGCGGCCGCGCGCGCCCGGGCGCGGGTCCCAGGACGCCCGCCTTCGCTCGACGTGCTTCGCGATCCGGGCGCACGCCGACACTCCTCGCTCCTCCTCCTCCTCCTCCTCCTCCTCCTCCTCCTCCTCCTCCTGCTCCTGCTCCTCCCTCCTCCCTCCTCCTCCTCTCCTCCCTCCTCCTCCTCCTGCTCCTTGTCCTCCTCCTCCTCCTCTCCTCCTCCTCCTCCTCCTCCTCCTCCTCCTCCTCCTCCTCCTCCTCCTCCTCCTCGGGTTGCGGAGGCTTGCATCTGGCGCGCGGGCGCCAGATTCACGGGTCGGGGAAGGTGCCCCCCCGAGGCACGAGGCCAATACCGCCCGATCTGGCGACGGATCGCGCCGATGGCGCCGGGCAATGGCACGCGTCGCGAATCCGCACGCCGTCACTCACGTCAGCGCTCCCTCGGGCGGTGCGCGGTGCGCGATCGTCTGCGCGCCCCCGGTGGCGACCCGAGGGGGTCCCCCCCCTCCCCCCCCTGGGAACGGGTGTCCTGACCAGGCCGTCGACGCGGGCCCCGCGGCGCGTCCGCCCCCCTGGCGGCCAGATCACCCTCACATCTCCAACGACTCGATAAAGTGGAGGCCAGTCCCGAAGAAACCTTCCACAAAGAAACCCAACCCTGAGACCCCCGGACGTCCACTGGCTTTCGGTGTGGGAGCGTCGCGCTCCCCCTCGCAACACCATCGAGACCCAAGAAACGGGGCACCCTGGAGGCAAGCAGGGTGTTTCCTGGCATGGGCCTCCACTGCAACCTTCGATATGTGCAAGTCTCGGGGCCCTGGACCTCTCGGCACCTTCTCCGAGACCAGCTTTCCGTCCCGAGTCTTAGGTCGGGCATGTCA